TATAAATCTCCAGAAAACACCCAAGTCTAAAAAGTCTGTGCCCTAGTACTGCCTTAGTGCCTTGCACAGTTGGGTGTTCCATGTGGTCCTTTGTCTGAGGCTGAAGATACCTTATCACAACATAAGCGTAGATTCCAGTTCCACCACTTAACTCAGTTGTGTGACTTTGGGCAAGTTGCTTCAACTGTGTGCCTCTGCTTACTCATTTCTTAAAACGGGGCTAACAATACCTGCCCATTGGTATTTAGCAAAAATAAAACATTAGTGACGCCCTGAACACAGCATCTGGCACCCAGAGATGTGAGGCAGCTGTTGTCTGTATATACTGTTCGGGTGACAAGCCTTTTTCTTCCCATATATTTGCACCTTGACTAGTTGATATTAGCCCTCTTAATCAGCTTCCTCATCTGTAAAAATCTACGTCAAAAGATCGTTGAAAGAATAAAAGGAAAAAGAGGAAAACCAGGGCACAGCAGGCCTAAAAACAAAAACCAAAACAAAAAAACCACCATTCTTTTCCGTCTCCCTAGCTAAGACCCTTTCCTTAGCATTACCCTACAACCTCAACGCGCGCCCAGCTGAAACTCCTTCAACACTGCCCAGGGGCCTGCCGACACATCTGCGGACAAACAAGCCATGCCTGTCTCCAACAACGCCAGCCAGAACTCCACGTCAGTGAGCCATGTTTCCCAGTAAAGAAAAGGTGTACAGATGTAAGGAGTCAACCACCCCTCCCATCAATCCCCCTTTCCCGAGACGGCCGGGTCCCCGGCACAAAGAGCGCATTCAACCCGCGCGAAGCCCTTCCCCTCCCTCACCCCACCCACCCAGCTGGTGGGGAGGTGCGGTGGAGACCCGACGGGCTGGGGAGGTGGGGGTGGCCGGGGGCTGGACAACCTCGAGGGAGCCCGGGCACCGGGGTCTAAGGCGTGCGGGAGGGGGTCGCGCCTCACCTTCGCTCGCTTGCGCCGGCTGGTCCGCCGCCCCTCCGGAGTCTCCGCGATTCCCGTTTCCATGGGGGTCGCGGATCCAGGAACGACGGTAGGCCCGGCTTGAGGCCCGGCGGAGCCCGGTGGCTCGGCCAGTCCCCCGGGGGGCGAGGCCCGCGGAGGCTCTTTCTTGCGGGGAGTGCGCTCCCCGGCCACCCCCGGCCCGGCCTCGGTAGGGCCCGACAGGCCCGCGGGCGGCGCGGCCACCTCGGAGCCGTTCTCCGCGCCGCCCGCTGCCCCGGGGCCGGCCTCAGTCCCCGCCGCCGCCGCTGCTGCTGCCGCCGCGGCCGCCGCGGCCTTCTTCCCAGACAACATCTCTGGCCTCCTGGCCGCCGACGGCCGAAGGGGCCGCTCGGTCTGTCGGTCCGTGGGTCCGGAGCCGCCTTGCCTCGCCTCACTTCACACTGGTAGCTCGCTGCCAACCGCCGCCGCGTACGCACGCGCTGAGCGCGCTCCCGCCGCGTCCGGACAAAAAGGCCCAGGTCGCCCACCGCCCCGCCTTCCCCGGCTGCCATAGAGCGGCGTCCTCGCGGCTAGAGCGACACCACCGCAGGGAGCACAATGCTTTCCTAGAGCGTCGTCTTAGCCTTTGGAGTGGGCCCCCGCGCCTTCCCCGGTCCTAAGGCTTCTGGGCCATACTGCACCTCCGAGGGCGACCATTTCCTCCGGGGACTTGTATACACCCATGAATTCATTCGTTCGTTCATTCATTCATTCGTCTACTCATTCGTCAGTTCAAGCAATATTTATTAATGCTTACTACGTGAGGAGGGTTTAATTATGAAGTTTTTGCTTTCAAAGAGCTTACAGTTTAGTGAGGGGAAAACATAGAACCATAAGTGGGAAATCATCTTGTATCATAATTGTCCTGCTTGGACTGGGGAAATCTTGGAGAGCAAATGAGTCTCGTGGTAATAAAATGGACAGAAGTTAGGAAATCCTGGTTTGAGTCCAAACTGGGATGGTGTTGCCTCCAGGGCGGTGTTCCTGTTCTTTCTTACGTCTGGACCTCCTCCCCATTAGCACTCCCTCACTCATACCTCCGCCCACTCCCTATGTCTTCCATACATAACACCTCTTTTTACTCCAGGTTAATTCTTTCTAGTGCTGCAGGTGGTGGTGGTGGTTTATTTTTTTAATTCTTCCGGGACTCCTTTAGTGACCCAACACTGGAACAGCTTGTGTTTCTTCAAGCTTGTTTCTACTTTATTACACACAAATATAATTGCTTTTTTATATGTCTCTCTCTCCAGACTATAATTTTCTTTCTTTTTTAAAAAAGTTTTTTTTTTTTTTTAGTAATCTCTACACCCAATGTTGGGTTGAACTCAAAAGTCGCATGCTCTTGGAGGCGCCTGGGTGGCTCAGTCCTTAAGCAACCGCCTTTGGCTAAGGTCATGATTCCAGGGTCCTGGGGTCAAGCTCTGCATCGAGCCCCCACATAGGGCAGCGAGAAGCCTGCTTCTCCCTCTCCCACTCCTCCTGCTTGCGTTCCTTCTCTTGCTTTGTCTCTCTCTGCCAAATAAATAAATAAAATCTTAAAAAAAAAAAAAAGGTGGGGCGCCTGAGTGGCTCAGTCGTTAAGCGTCTGACTTCGGCTCGGGTCATGATCCCAGGGTCTGGGGATCAAGTCCCACATAGGGCTGCCTGATCGGCGGGAAGCCTGCTTCTCCTTCTCCCACTCCCCCTGCTTGTGTTCCTGCTCTCGCTATCTCTCCCTCTCTGTCAAATAAATAAATAAAATCTTAAAAAAAAAAAAAAGTTGCATGCTCTCCTGACTGAGCCACCCAGGTACCCTTCAAACTGTAATTTTGCAAAAAATTATCCCACTTACATGAAGTTTAAAGAACTGGTAAAACTGGGGCGCCTGGGTGGCTCAGTCGTTAAGCATCTGCCTTTGGCTCACGTCATGGTCCCAGGGTCCTGGGATCAATCCCCGAATCGCCTCCCTGCTCCGCGGGAGGCCTGCCTCTCCCTCTCCCACTCCCCCTGCTTGTGTTCCCTCTCTCGCTGTGTCTCTCTCTGTGTCAAATAAAAAAATTAAAAATTAATTAAAAAAAGTACTGGTGAAACTAATCTCTAATGATCAAATCCAATCAGTGATCACCTGGGATGAAGGTGAGAGTTGGCTGCAAAACAGCAGGAGGGAATTTGCTGGGGTTGATGGAAATGTTTTTTTATCTTGATTGGGTGGTGTACAGGTTAGTCAAAACTCACTGTGCTATGCAAGTAAAATATTTTCATATTTTACTTTATGTCAATTGTACTTCAATGAAGTTGAATTTTTTTTTTAACCTAGGCAAATGGGAAAAAGGAGACAATTAAGTCCAGGAAATTTAGAAGATGTACAAGTAAAAAAGTGTAATCGTAGTTCAACATGGCTCGGCTATGAACTACATTGACATAGCCATAGTAACATAAGCATTAATGTTGTTTTAACCAAAGGGATAGAATTATATTGAGGGAATGGAGGAAAGAGAAAGTGTGTGGAGGAGAGGAATGACAGGGGTTTTTAGAAGCAGGGATGAAATGGGAATGGGGGAGGTTCTGCATGGGAACTAAATCCTCATCTTCCATCATAAAAAGATAATATAGAATGTCAAAATTGAGAAACCAAGAAATAACAGAACAAGCATACAATTTATTTATTTATTTTTTAAAGATTTTATTTATTTATTTATTTATTTGAGAGAGAGAGAGAGCATGAGAGGAGGTTGGGTCAGAAGGAGAAGCAGACTCCCTGCTGAGCAGGGAGCCCGATGCGGGACTTGATCCCGGGACTCCAGGATCATGACCTGAGCCGAACGCTGTCGCTTAAACAACTGAGCCACCCAAGCGCCATGGGAATGGGGGAGGTTCTGCATGGGAACTAAATCCTCATCTTCCATCATAAAAAGAAAATATAGAATGTCAAAATTGAGAAACCAAGAAATAACAGAACAAGCATACAATTTAGATATATCAAGATAAATACCAGAAGAAACAGTTAAAAAGTTGGAACGAGTTGTCTGAGTCCTATAACTTGAGGATGAAAGGGGGCGATAGATCGAAGATTGCTTGTTTTAAACTCTTTAGTTCTGACTTGTTTGCACATTTAATAATTTGATAAAACTTAAAATTAGATTTTTTAAGTATGTATATCCTTTAATCCAGCAATTCCACTTTCCAGAGGACATTCTAGGAAACTAAGCATGTACCTCAACTTATATATAATAGCAACAAAGAAGAATTAACCTAAAGGCCCAACAAGGAGCCACTAATTGGTATATTAGAATATCATAGCCATTAAAATAGACACTTGAACATGAAGAACTCCCATACAAAATAGTGAGCATATGTCAAAGATTTATTTAACTCATTAGAGAACCAGTAAGATGACAACACTGGTTCAAAGGAAAACATGAAAAGCTGACATATAGTCACTAGTCAGTGGAAAACAGAATGCTGGAATAAAATTGCAAAGTTAAATAAGAAACAAATGGTTTTAATGTCTTCCAAGGCCATAAAATTGTAGACTTTGAGGTTATCTTTTCTATCAGACACAACTAATTTGCTTCTATTTGGAAAAAAAATCATTTGCAACTTACCCATTTTTTTTTCCTGGAAATAACTAATTTAATTGTTAAAAATTGTGGTGAAAGACATAACATAAAATTTATCACCTTAACCATTTTTAAGTGTACAGTTCACTAGGGTTAATTATACGCTGATGGTTGTACAATCTCCAGAATTCTCATCTTATGATATTCCATGCCCATTAAACCACAACTTGTCATTTCTCCCTGCCTCCTAGCTTCTGGCAACCACCATGCTACTTTCTGTCTCTATAAATTTAACTACTCTGGGTATCTTATATAAGTGGAATCAGACGACTTCTGTGTTTTTGGGACTGGCTTCTTTCACTGAGCATAATCACCTCAAAGTTTATGCATGTTGTAGCGTATGTCAGAATTTCCTTCCTCTTTTTATTTTTGTAATGTTAGTTCATGTCTTTTATCAACCCGTATACAATTACTTGTACCCTGGTCTGTCGAAGCGGTAGGTCAGACATTTGCCCCAGTAGCATCTGTTAAAGTGGCTAGCCATAAGAACACCAGTGCCACATTCGTCTGAAAGTGACTGATGTTGCCCTTCTCATCCACCTTAGAGAGAGTATTTCAGGATGTCAAGCTTTTAACCTTCTTTCTCTTATGCTTATTCTTCCTGGGAGTGGCGTAAAACTTCTCCCTTTTCTTAGCACCACCAGGAAGTCTCAACACAAGATGAAGAGTAGACTCCTTTTGAATGTTGTAGTCAGACAAAGTATGTCCACCTTCCAGTTGCTTGCCAGTGAAGATCAGTCTCTGCTGATCGGGAGGAATTCCTTCCTGATCCTGGATCTCGGCTTTCACATTTTCTATTGTATTTGAGGGTTCAACCCTCAAAGAGTGATGGTCTTTCCCATAAGGGTTTTCATGAAAATCTGCATCTTGGCAGCAGTTCCACGTCATATGGTGGATGGGAAAGGAGAACGCGGCAACAGCCCTTGGGGTTTTCTGAATTTCCTTCCTTTTTTAAGGCTGAACAATTCCATTGTATGTGTATACAGCATTTTGTTTATTCATTCATCTGTTGTTGGTTTTGGGTTTGCTTCCACCTTCTAGCTATTGTGAATAATGTTGCTATGAACATGGGTGTACAAATAGCTCTTTAAGACCCAGCTTTCAGGGGTGCCTGGGTGGCTCAGCTGGTTAAGCGTCTGCCTTCGGCTCAGGTCATGATCCCAGGGTCCTGGGATCGGGCCCCGCATCAGGCCCCCCACTCAGTGGGGAGACTGCTTCTCCCTCTCCCACTCCCCCTGCTTGTGTTCCCTCTTTCACTGTCTCTCTCTGTCAAATAAATAAATAAAATCTTAAAAAAAAAAAAAGACCCAGCTTTCATTTATTTTGGATATATACCCAGAAGTGTAATTGCTAGAGCAAATGATCCAACTTTTAAAAAAGTTAACATCTGACTTTACAGAGTCAGGACCCTAATCAATATTAAACAGTATTGTCAAAGTTACCTTCCCCTAAAGCAGCAGATGACCAGCAGGTGGGCCAGCTGGACAATATTCTGATATGACTGTGTAAACAAGCTCAGAGGAATCTCTTTGCCTTATTTCCAGATCTTGGGTAATTTTTCTTTGCAGTCTCCCTCACCATGAGGGTAGGGGCTCTATGCTGCTGGCCATCTTATTCCCAGTGGCTAGGCCTGGAAGTACTGTCGAATAAATGAGGTATCACTAAAGCCGACATCACCTGGTTGTTGTGAGGACATCATGAGATGTTGCTTACAAACTGCCTGTCAAAGTCTGGCACATAGTGGCTGCTTAAGACAGGAGTAGTTAATATTGTTATGCGATAGCTGGGAGAGGGTGGCTGGTTATGACTCGGATGAGGGGGCGGCCATGGCTCCTGTCATGGAGGGCAACTGTCCTAGAGGGGTCACCAAGGCAGGGTCTTGGGGCCTGGGTGCCTCCAAGCCATAATGCTGGGGGAACTTATGTCTCTTTTTAGGAATCTCCATGGGATACTTGCTTCCTCGGGCACCATAGGAGCATTGGTGGCTTGGTTGATCAGCTATAAGCCAGCCTTGTTTGGGTTCCTATTCCTTCTGCTGTTGCTTAGCAACTGGCTGGTCAAGCATGAACTCAAGCCCACCCCCCCAGAGCCCCTGCAGGTGAGCAAGAGGGGACTTAGCTTCAGCTAAGGATGATGGGATATTTACAGCTTGACTGGGGGTACGGGGGCCAGGGAAGATGTCAGGATAATGGGGCAAGGCTGAAAAATCCACAGCTCTAGTCTAAGCCCCTGTTATACAACTTCCACTTGGGTGATGGAGGACAAAGCACTTCCTTCACAAGGCTTCAGTTGCCTGGGCTGGAAAACAGGGACCATCCCTAGACAAAAACAAAAATAAAAACAAAAACAAAAACAAAAACACCCACAGAGAACAAACTGGTGGTTGCCAGAGGGGAGGTAGGTGGGGAAGGAGTGAAACAGATAAAGGCGATTAAGAGTACACTTATCTCGATGAGCACTGAAAAATGTAGACAATCATAGAATCACTGTATTGTATACCTGAGACTAATATAACACTGTATACTAATTATACTTCAATAAAAAGAAAAAAAGAGAGAAAACTTGTTTAAAAAAAAAAAAATAGGGACCATCCCAGACCCTCCTGCTTCATGTTTGATGTCAACATGGTTTGGCAACAGTAACAACTACTTGAAGGTAGAAAAATTTTAAATGGATGAACAAAAGATACCTGTGGGACACAGACATATCTCTAGAATGGCATAATGAAGACACCAGAAATGTACCCAGATTATGACATCTTTTATGTAAAGTTAAAAAAAACCCACACATGAAACAACACCTTATCTTGTTTGTGGATGCCTACGTATAGCGAAAATATATTAAGGTTGGATCTCTCAACCTCTGCCCGTTTGATATTTTGAGTGGGATAATTCTTGATCATGAGGGCCTGTCCTATGTGCTGTAGGATGTTCAGCAGCATCCTTAGCTTCTATCCACAGATGCCAAGAGCACCTCTCGCCCCCTTTTGGGACAACCAATAACGTCTCCAGACATTGCCAAATGTCCACTGGGGAAGGCAAAATAGCCTCCCATTGAGAACTACTGGTATAAAGAAATATATGGAAAAAATAAATTCTGAATTCAGGATTGCAGTCGAGATGAGGTTCAGAGGGGGAGGGAACTCTATGAGAGAGACCCACAGGGGACTCCAGTTATATTTGTCATATTTTTATTTCTCATGCTGGTATGAGAACATGGGTATTTGCTGTAATATTCACTTTTATTTTTGCATGTCTGAAACATATTTTTTAAAGATTTCATTTATTTATTTATTTGAGAGAGAGAGAGCACAAGCATGGGGAGGGGCAGAGACAGAGGGAGAGCTGGAGAAGCAGACTCCCTGATGAGCCGGGAGCCCAAAGCCAGGGCTCGATCCCAGGACCCTGGGATCATGACCTGAGCCGAAGGCAGACACTTAACCGACTAAGCCACCCAGGTGCCCCTGCATGTCTGAAATATTTAAAATGGTTTTAAGGATGAGGAATTTGTAGCTGACTCCAAAAAGAAAAAAAATTTAAGTATTATTAATTGCATAGAGGCAGATGAGGATTATAGAGATCAGAGCGTGTCATGAGACAACGGGAAACTTGGCAGGTGGTGATTTTATGAGGCCTGAAAACAGTCTCAGGCACACTGGGAGAAACACACGCTCCAGAGACAGATATATCTGGGTTAAGTGCTTTATGTCCCCTGGGAGTGCAGATGAGGAGGCCATTTCATTTATTCCTGGGAACCAAAGACAAGTATGGGTCCTAGGAGTTTAGGGGTTCCCAAACTGAGAAGAGGACCTTTCCTCACTGGACCCCAACTCTCTCACCCACAAGATGTGGCAAAGATGCTCTTTTTGCAGACTGGTTGTGAGGATTGATTAACGGGATGTGTATAAATTGATATTAACTAATGTTTCCTTTTTTGGGGTGAGGGGTCTAGGAAGAGGCAGAGAAACCAAAACCTCTTGAAGCCAAACCCAACAGCTACGTCTTGAACACAAAAGAAGTCGAGAGACTGCACGCCTGCTTTGCCCTCCAGGACAAGGTCCTTGAACGGCTTATGTTCAGTGAAATGAAGCTGAAGGTCTTAGAAAATCAGATGTTCATTGTATGGAATAGAATGAGTCACCACAAGAGGTCAAGCCGGCAGCGGACTTTTCCCATGAGGAAACACAGAATAAGGAGACATGATTCAGTTTTCTCCATCATCTCTGACTGTACTTCTAATTCCCCCTAATGAGGTCAGAGAGACTGGGGTGGGCTGACCTCTTTGGATGTTACCTTTCCTCAGTAAAACCCAGTCAGAGACTATTGAATTTTCTTAGTAAATCACACTGGAGAGCAGGATTGGAGGCTGAAAGGCCAATCACCTTTGGGAAAGAAATCAGTACTCACTCCGTCAGCCACATAGTGCTCTAAGAACGACCCGAGGGGCCGCCAGAACCCGGCTCCTCCTCTCTTTCAGTTGTCCACCTTAACCCTAGTCCAGAGCCCTCTACCTGTTCACCTTGAGTCTTATAATGGCCTCCCCTGAGCTGCCCCAGTTCCCAGTCTCCCCCTTTCCCTCTGCTCAGAGGCCAGAGCCAAGCTCTGCCAAGTGGGCAAGTTCCCTGCCTCTTCTTGATACGCTGTGGTTGATGGAATAAAGGCCACACTCCTTACCATGGTGTTCAGCCCCTCCATGATCTGACCCCTTTCCCAGGCTTGTTTCCCGCCCCTACTCTTCCTCATGTGCTTTATACCTTGTGCCAGAGTATCCCAAACACCAGTCATCCGGTACCCCCTTTGTGATTTTTGCCAGAGCTATGAGCCACCTGAATATTTTTAGCTCAATATTGTCCCTTTTATTTTTTAAATGACAGTGAGTTAATATTTTATTTTTTTAATCTTTTTTTTAAAGATTTTATTTATTTATTTGACAGAGAGAGACACAGTGAGAGAGGGAATACAAGCAGGGGGAGTGGGAGAGGGAGAAGCAGGCCTCCCATGGAGCAGGGAGCCCGATGTGGGGCTCGATCCCAGGACCCTGGGATCATGACCTGAGCCGAAGGCGGACATTTAACGACTGAGCCACCCAGGCGCCCCTTAATATTGTCCCTTTAAACAGACTTGTTTCCTTAAATAAATATATCTGTGAAAGAAAGTCATAATAAAAATAATTAACTACATTAAAAAGCTATATCAATTGCCTGAAGTAGAAACTGTCAAAAAACTGTCAAAAAAATTAAAAAAAGAAGAAGACGACAGTGCGACAGTGGAGACACAACAATGTTACTAAAGTTCCAACCAGAGCTTGGTTGCCCACTGGAAGGGTCTGAGCCTGGGATTTGGGGTTAAAAAGAGAAATTAGTAAGTATTAGTGTTGGAGAGATATGCTAGCACCAAGCTAAGGTTTTTCTCCATAAGGAGAACTAGAAGGAAACCACTATCTCGCCGTGGGATCCGGTGTGGCCTAGTGCCCTGTTGGCCCCACCTAAAATCATCTCTAATCAAACCAGATGGCTGGTCATCCCCCAAATGCATCCACATCTTTGCTCCCGTGGTTTCTTCCCCTGGAATCCCTTAGCTTCCCCCTTGTACGATTACACTTCTTTAGTCCTTCCTAAACTACACCTCCAGAACGCTTCCCTAACCCACCTGGGAATAGTCTCTGTCCTTGGTGTGCTCCCAGCATTTTATCTTCAGTTCGGCGGTGGAATGTATCACGATCCGCTGGGATTTGATTTGATTTGCACACACTTCTATATTTCCTCCCCATCCTCCAACTATTATAAACCCTGCAAGCACGGCATCTTGTTCATCTGTCTCCTGCTCCCCACGGCACCCAGCACTGGGGCTGGTATATAGTCAGTCAG